GCTCCCTCTCCATCCCCCCCCCACCCCCAGCTCTTGCCTCTGGCTGCACCAGTCTCTCTCCCAGACAGCAAGACCTACGTCCTAGGCACCGAGGCGACCCAGAGATTTTCTCTCATGAACTGCCCCCCTCTGATGGGAAGGGCTCGGATGGATGAAGGAAGCCGGCCCTGTCTGCCCTGGAGGTCCCCCTATCTCCGGGCTCCCAGATGGAAAGGGCAGGACTTTCTCCCCCAAGTGAGGACTTCACCAGGGCCCGATTTCGGGGGCGGGGAGCAGTGGGGAGGAGGGCAGTGGGGGAGAGGAATAGTTTTGAGCAGCTGCCCCCGGTGGTGAAGAACCGGGAGGCTTGATGGATGTTTTTAGATGTGGTCGTGGCGCCTCCTGCCGATCGGAGGCCAAATTGCACCCCGTGTCGGGGCAGGCGGAGCTTCAGCCCCCGCGACGCAACGGTCAGGCCTCCCTGAGCAGGCAGCACGCTACCCTCCCCACGCAGGTCATTCCTTACTCATCCGAGTAAGCTCACCCCCTCCCTTACAGGGCCTCCTTCACCAGGGCAGGCACCTTGCGTGCTGGGCCCAACGGCTGGCACAAAGTAGAGGCCCAATCGATATTTGATGGACGAAACAAGAACAAGTAGGTGCCGTGAGAGCCCAGGGGGTGAAGACGTCAGAGGTGTCAGGACAGGAGATGACAAGGGCCCAAGTGGGAACTAAGGAGAGGCCAAACAGGTCATTGGAGGTGGGGAGACCAAGCTGTTGAGGCCTGGCCATGGCGCTGGCTGCCCGAGGTCCCCTGGACTGTGGGCAGAGAAAGGACAGCAGGCATGGTAGGACTGGACTGTGTGACCCAAAAGCCTGGAGCGAAGAATGACCTAGAAGTGGCCATGGGGACAGAAGAGGAAGCTGCCCACCACCCTCCAGACTTGCCCTGGGCTCCGGGGCCCATGGGGGGTGGGGGCAGTGTGGAGCAGGAAGGGGGTGGGAGGAAGCTAGGAGAAGGAAGCTACAGAGGGCTTTGTGTGCCTGGGAATGAGCAGGCGGGCATGTCCACCCCGGGATGTGCCCATTCCCAGCTGGGCGCAGCTGTTCTTCTCAGTGGAGGCCAGGCCCCCTGGGTCCAACCCCAAACACTGCCACCGGCCTCACCTGCACCCCGCCCGCCCACCGCCCAGTGCCCCCTGAGACCCTGACCAGCCCTGCTTGGGCCTCACTGCCTCCCTTCTGGGTCCTAAATGTCAAGGAGAAGGGTCTCCTCCATCATGCTCTGCAGTGGGGGCTGGCAGGGAGCAGGATCAGTGGGGAGGAAGGGGTGGCCAGCTTGCCCAGAACTCTGAGGGTGCTTCCTCTGCTCTGGTTAGGGCCAGGAGAGGCTTGGGGTCCCGGAAGGCAGGACTCTGGAGCCCCGGCCCACCCCGAATGGGGTTGCCGGGGGCAGGGGCCACACAGATCAGAGAACTGGCCACCAGTCTTCACACCGGAAGCCATCACCAACCCAGCCTGGATGTCGCATGGCAGCCTCCCGGGAGCATCATGCCCCCCCTCCCCCACCCCGGAGCACATGGGCTCCAAAGCCACAGGGCAGGACCGCTGTTGAGCCCCCGATGGCGCCCTCTCCTGGCTAAGGAGCTCCTCCTCCACCTTCTGACACTGTGGTACCTTCTGCACAAGAAGGTACCCACTGGAAATGCTCTCTGTCAGGCCAGGGCCGTGGAAAGGTGGGGGAAGGAAGGGAGAGGTTGGAGGAGACAGCCCAGGGCTCTGGTCACTGGGCCTCCGCTTGCCTGGGAGCCCTTCCCAGCCCGTCCCTGCAGCCCACCCCCAGGGGACCGGAGACGGCGCTCCTCGGACCCCCGTTCGGCCTCCCGCCACCCCCCTCGGCTGGCAGCCCACAAGGCCTGAGGTGCCTCCATTTTCTCCCAAGGAGCCACAGCCACATGCAGGCTGACCTCTAGGCTGGCAGAGCTGGCCGGCCAGGCTGCCTCCTGCTGGCACTTGGGGGGGACAGGGACAGGAAATTCTTGAACAGCTGGGAGCTTGCCTGCCATGACGGGAGGGAACAGACGTTCAGGTGGCAGTGGGTGAGGTCGCATGGTGGGGTCCTGTGGGCAGTGGGCCTGCCTCCTTGGTTTCCCTCCCACAGGTGACATCCATCCCCTCCACACTCATCCCCCATCCCCATCCCTCACCCCTCCCTCCAGCTCACCATGGGCCCATTGCTCTGTCTGTCTTTATTGATTTGAGGAAAACTAGAGGGGGGCTGGAGGGCCATGACACAAAGCGGGACCACCACAGTCAGCAAAGCACAGAACGGCGTGCAGGGAGAGCTGCCCCTGGAAGCCTCTTTGGCTCCTAGAGGGGGTGTGGTGGTGACAGGGGAGGGAGTCCCTGTGGACACACCCCGCCAGCCCCTAGGCGAGGGCAGAGCCTGGGTGGCAGATGGGTGAGGCCCACTCCTGCCCCAGTGCCATGCACCACGCCCACACATCTCCAACTTTCCAGCGAGGCCAGCCCGGGCTCCTGGGGGTGGGGAAAGGGGACTGAAAGGGCCCACCCATGGGAAGGGAATCCAGGAGTCAATGCACTCGGCCACAGCATCTGCCTGGAGGGAGAGGGACAGAGAAGCGCAGAGAAGGAGGTCGTCAGGAGAGGGCCCCAGCCTGCCCTGTACCCCCTGCTCCCGGCCAAGGCTCTCAGCAGCAGTACCCACCGGGTCTCGGCACCAGGCGCCTCACGGATCTCCGTGGTCCCCTCAGTCACCAGCCCCCACTGGCCTCTATTGTCTGCTTCTGTGGGAACCCCAGCTCCTTCCCTCTGTCTACAATTTCTGCCCTCAGCTCTCTGCTCTGGGGGGTCCGGCCCACTTAGTTCTTGGCCACACAGAGCCCACCCCCTTCTAAGGGCACTCAGGAGTCAGCTCCCAGTGGGTTGCAGGGCCTGCACTCGCACACCTGGGCATCACCACTTGGGGGGCTGGCCGGACTGGAGGCCAGGGTGGCTGTGGCGGGCCATCCTCCTCTCCGAGGCCTCCTCACCCTCTGGGCTCTGCCCCAGCTTGCGGATGTGGCGCAGGAAGGAGGTGGCATTGAACGCTCGCTGTGGGGAGAGAGGGTTGTCAGGCCATGCCCCGGCCATGGCCCCCAGACTTTGAGGACCAAAGAGGCCACTGGCAGCCCAGGCCATCCCTCTGAGGGGCCGGGGGGCGGGGGGCAGCCTCAAGCCAGGTCCACAGGCCCCTCCCCACACTGACCTTCCAGTGGGTCCGGGCAAAATTCTTCTGGATCTGCTCACTAACTGAGCCCAGGATGTCCTTGTCAAAGGCCGCATCCCCAGAGATCCTAGGGGGAGGCCAAGGATCAGTGGTGGGGGAGTCTCTGAGGGTGTGGTCCCTCTGGTCCCAGGACAGGTCAGCACGGGTCCCGCTCACCAAAGATGCTGTAAAGCCTGCTGGCAGGTGAACCTCTTCTGGGGGTCTCGCTCCAGAAGGTGCCGGATGAAGTCTTTGGCTAGAGTTGGGATGCCAGGTCAGCCCACCGCATCCCCACTCCCCTCGTCACTCCCCCCGTCACTCCCCCCTCCCTGAGCTCGGGGCCAGCTTCAAGTTCACCTGATTCTGAGATGTCATCCCAAAAGGGAGAGTCAAACTCGTAGCTGGCCCTCAGGATCTGGCTGAAGAGTTCAGGATCGCTCTCGTCGTAGAAAGGGGGGTACCCACACAGCCTGGCACCCACACATGAATCACCCAGCTGCCCAGCCCTCCCCAACCCAGCAGAAAGCAGGCAGGCAGAAGAGGAGCCTTCCCAGGGGTCACTCACAAGATGTAGGAGATGACACCCAGGGCCCACACATCCACAGCCTTCCCGTAGGGTTTCTGCTCCAAGAGCTCCGGGGCTGGGGGCCAGAGACAGACGGACACACACCCGCACGCACACGCACCATGCCTTCAGTGCCGCCAGGCTCGGCCTAGTTCACCCCAGGAATGACCGACCACCTATCCTGCCCCCGGTACGTGGCTCCCGCGGTGTCCCCCAGCCCCCCCCCGCCAGCCCCCAGCAAGCCTCAGGGTGCGCCCCCTCACTGACCCACGTATCCGGGGGTCCCACAGGCGGTGCCTAGCATGTTGCCAGCCTGGATTTTGGAGAGGCCAAAGTCGGAGACCATGATTTTGGAGTCCTCAAAGGGCGTGGCATAGAGGAGGTTTTCAGGCTATGACACACGGGCACCAGAAAAAGTGCCAGGTCAGCCCTGGGATGGCCCTGGTGCTGGGCACCCTCAAGTCCCCCAGACCCTTGGTGCACAGGGATGCCGGGCAAGGCCCAGGCGGGCAGGCAGGAGGGCAGGCACCTTGAGGTCTCGGTGCACGATGCCCAAGCTGTGCAGGTAGGAGACAGCACCGAGGACCTGGCCCACTAGGTGGCTGGCATCCTTCTCTGTGTAGGAGCCACGCTCCATGATGCGGTCGAACAGCTCGCCCCCTGTCACCCTAGGGGGAGTGGGGGACTCAGCTAATTCAGCCTCATCGGCCCCCCACTCACCACCCAGCCCCGGCCACCCGAGCCTGCCCCTGCCCTCCTCACAGCTCCATGGCCAGGTAGAGGTGGGAAGGGCTCTCATGGACGTCCTCCAGAGCCACGATGTTGGGGTGGTTGACCCTGCAATGGCAAGAAAAAGGCCCTTATGGGCCACCACAGCCCCCTCTAGGCCTCTCAGGGTC